GTGCTGCGCATTGCGGTCCTGGCAAACAGCCTGTGGTCGGGAGAGGAAGCCATGCAAAGTCCTCAGACGTGAGCGGGTCCAATGCCTCTATATTGAACTCGCGCGCCGAATCCCGTGATGAATCACTTGAAGACGATATTTCATTGTTGCCGGACGGAGAAGAAACCGCACACACTCCTTGYCCTTGAGCTTGAGTACCCAGCGTTGGAACGAGCCGCGCAGCATAGTCCTCAAAAGAAAATAGAAGCGGAGGACTGTCGACTTCCGCATGCGCCTCGGAATGAAGGCTGGTCACTCGCGAAGAAACCAGTTCCGAAGGCGTCGAGAGTGTCGTCGCATCACTCTCGGCGGTGCTCAGTTTCTCTGTCGACCCTTGCCCTTTAGTGGGCAAACCGGCGTCATATGAAGATCGCTGTTGCACCACAGGCAATAATGGAATCCCTCGTGCGCCTTGTAGGCGGACTCGGTGAGGCCATACGGGGTCCATGGGCCTGTCTGAGCTGCTGCACCGGGCCCGGGGCTAGAAACGGTGTGTGTCTTCGGCTTGCCGCGCCCTCGGCCTCTGCCGGCGCGGCCACCTTCCCGGGTGGCTGCGAATCTGTCTCCTTCACTGGCAGACGCAGCCTCGCTGGTTTGGTCTAACGGCGCTGCCGCTGTGACCACGGCCACTCGTGGCCGATGCTGGTTCCCGCTCGGGCCTGACGCAGAAGAACGGAGGTTCTTGGCCTGCTTGTTTGTAACGATGATCTGCGCAGCCTTGTCGAATAGTTCCGCCGCCGTCGTCAAGGTATCCCCGACATGCGTCAGGGCATTGCTCAATGTCGAACATGACCTTGAGATGAAATAGTGGCGGATGGCCTTGAAGCCCATCTGGATGTCTGGGACTGACGTCAAGCGTTGGTACTCGGCGATCCAGTCCATACTAGGCAGCGAGCCTTGCTCGAAGACCATAAGCTTGTCCATGGCTTTGATCTCTGGCGGCTCCACCTGGAACCGCTTGTGCCACGCCGCCTTTAGATCATCCCAGCTGATCATGGTGTGCAAGTCCGCTGCTACCACTCCGTACTTGGACAACAAGTTGTCCAACCACGCCTGACACGCGCCCCCTGAGCGAGAGTACAAGTAAGCGTGGTGCTTGTTTTCCTTGACGTTGTGGAGCTGCAGCGTGAGCTCAAACTTGCGAAACCATGGAATCGGATCTGTCTTGATTGAGTCGTGGAAGATCTCCTGCCCATCGAACTTAGGAGCTGTCTCGTGCGGCTCCGGACTCGAGGTGGTGGCGGTAGTGCAGATCCGCTGCTGCAATTGTTGCGTCGCGGTCTGCTGTAACTGTGCGCCATCCTGGAGGGAGTCGACGTGCATCTCCAATGCGGTGAGGCGGTCGGCAGTATTGGAAGAGACTGCGTCGGTGGCGGCAACTGGTCGCTGCTTCACCCGCTGAAGGCGGTCTTGGAGCTGAGCTACCGAGTTGTCGAGACCAAGGATCTCCGCCTGCTGTGTAATGCAGGTTGCCAGGAGATCCGTGAGATGCGAGAAGAGGAGCTTTGCGCTGTCCTCCAACTAGCTGTTCTAGGCCTCGCTTCGCCATTCTGCTGCCATGGTAAGGAACGCCCGCTCTCCGGTGAATATCTTCTCACGACGCTGTGTTCTTTCTTCATCAGCAGCCCTTGCTGCTGCCTCGTCGTGCTGGCGCTGTTGTTGCACGGCCAGCAGACGTGCCTGTTCGGCATCCTCTGCCCTTTTCTTGGCTGCTGCGGCAGCGTCATCTGCCCGCTTCTTTGTCTCGGTACTCCAGGCTAACATGCGGGCCTGAWWGGCCTCGTCTGTYTCCCCGGCCTTCTGGTCCATGACTGTTGTCTGTGAACGCAACAGCATAGACCAGACCGGTGCCTGCTGATGTGGTATCCCTTGCTGCTGACGTGGCAATGCTGACATGTCCTGCTGACGTGTCCTGCTGACATGTCCTGCTGACATGGTCTGCTGACGTGTCCTGCTGACGTGGTCTGCTGACGTGGCCTACTGACGTGGCCTGCTGACGTGGCAACTTACCAATGCCGTCACAAGGGGTACCCGGAGACAACCAGAAACGGCAAGGCGAGAGATGGCAACAACGTAGGTGGGGAGGGGCGGGTGGGATAATCGCCCAACTCACACTTAGATAAGGAGCCACTAATCAAACCAGAAAAGTTTGAACTTTGCAAAAAAAAATTCAAAAAACTAAAAAAATAAAAATCCCGATTTTTGCAAGTTCGGTAGGTCTCCCAATCTCCCTTGAAGTACGAAATGATCTCTGAAAGCGAAAAAAAATTTCGACTTTAGACTGCAACCGATTTATAGAACCAACTGACAGAATCCAAGAACTGCGAAAAAAGTCCGAACAGAAATTACAACTATTCGGATTTATTCCGATGGGAATATTCGCAGTTAAAAAAAAATAATACGTGCAGGAGGTATTTCCCGTACCGTTTTCAGAAAAACGAATTTCAGACACGAAGATATTCCGAAGTTCTAAGTAACGGGAAATGCAACAGAAAATCGAAACTTTCAAAAAGAAGTATATTCCGGATTTTTTTTTTTTTTAACAACTAAATTTTGAATTTTCAGAAAGAAAAACGAAAATAAGAATTTCAGATGTTGCGATATAGCGATTTTCCACAGCAGAATAGTGAGAAAATAAAATCCGAGAAAAGAAAAGATTTCGATCTTTTTTTTTGTAATAAGGTCAAGATCGTGATTTTGGGGTCTAACTAGTATGTCCTAATCAACAGAAAAGACTAACTATCTTTCTTGATCCCCGCACACGTGTCAGATCAGATAGTCCTGATTCACGTGCAAAAGCTCCGATACCAACTGCTACATACACCGATATGCAATGTACGTAATAAACCGAGGATCTGCAATGTGATGAAAAGGACTGAATAGACAATGTGGTTACGAGAATCTCGACCAGCAATGTACATTCTCATTCATACATGAAGATGCTGAAGAGCGCAGGGAAGACTTGATACAAAGACTGACCTGACAGGACTGACCTCRTCCACGTAGTTCGGAGTAACGAAGCAGAATGCCAAAGTGCTACTAACTAGCCCAATCAATGTTGAACTCAGACTAAACATGCATTGTATCCATCACAGAGTGTGAAGGAGCCTGGCGCTGTAACACAGGAAGCAAGCGCCAGGTCCAGACATACACAGACGAAGAGGTAAGGATTAGACGAAAAGGAGGGAGGAAGATGGGAATGTCGTTAACACCAAGTCTTGGTCACCAATCCCAAATAGTCCCTCGTTGCCATGTCTGAATCCCCAAAAAAGTCGAGTCTGGATCATATGTCACCAAGYCCGGTATCTCTTCTCTCGTAGTCTGCAACTGCAGGGAAGTCAGAAGTTGAGAGGGTAAGAAGAAGATGGTAGACTGAGAAGAGGAAGAAGAGAACTCTCTCTCTCTCACTGTTACGAACCTGTGATGTTGGCGCTGTGCTGCAGGTACCTTGAAGACGAAGCTGGAGCAACGGCGCTGCAGGTAAGTGATCCCTGGCCTCCGCCCATCAGTCCTACCACTACCTAGCTATGGCGCCCAGCGCTGAAAACTACAGCTACCTACTGCGCCCAGCGCTGAAGACTACTAGCTAACGCTACTCTACTACAACGCAGCGCTCCCTCCAGAGTGCTGCTCCCGAATCCTGAAGACTACAACTGCCGAACTGCCTACCCTGGAAGTGCCTGGGAAGTCCTATGTACTTCCTCGGCCTGCCTCCTGACTGCAGGAGGGCCGAGGAGGCAGCTCTTGCCAATGCCGAAGTGTGCCAGGGGCTGGCGTGCAGCAGCCTGCTTGAGGCAGGTGTGGGAACAGTCCAAATATAGGCTGTTCCCAAAACCCTGGTTCGGTGCCTGAGTTTCAGGGACGGTCAGAACGACCGAAAATGGCCCTTGGGTTCAGGCTAAAAATGCTATTACCATTTTTAGTCTGAACCGTCGCAGGGGCTGTAGGCCCTGAAAGTCAGGCTTCGGCCTGAACCGAAATGGGGCCTGTAAGCCCTGAATTTCAGGCTTTCGGCCTGAAATCCAGGGTTTTGGCCTGAATCCAGTCGGGCCTGCAAAATGGCCCGTGTGTGCACGCGCTGCATGTAACAACCAAAGTATAGGTAGCAGCAACGAGCCGATGCCAACCTTGAACTTGAAGTAGTGAAGTATATATGTAGCCTCAAAAGTAGGATGTCTAGCGAGGCAGCAGTAGGGAAGGGTTGTATTTGGCAATCCTGCAGAATCTTGTCTGTTCCGAAGCTCCTGCATCGACTGCATGTTTTCAAGCGAACTGTTTTCGAAAGTCCTAACTTTAGCAGGAAATTCGACATTGCCGTTAAAAATTCACTTAAACTACTAGTACCTATGCCGCATCCGTTAAAATTGGAATGATGCAGAGAAGATTAGTACGGCCCCTGCGCAAGGATGCCACGAGTAAACCGAGAAATGGTCCAATAAAAAAGATGGGCTACTTTAGTGGGTCCTCAGGGACAAATGTGGACCTTGGGTAACCGGTGAGGAATACATGTTTAAGAGCAGGGATACATGCACGTTAACCAAGAGAGAAATATTGCTGCAATATTTTGCTACCTAGGTGCACCTCAGAATAGACTCACCACATAAAGCTGCATGCACTCCGGTTAGGTTAGGGGTCATTTCAGTCAGTCGGCCAAACCTCATTCATTCTGGTGTGGACATGCAGTTGGGCCGGCTGCTTGCTTCACTCTCATACCATGGCCTACGCTCCGTACAAGACAGCAGATCAAGCAAGATGCAAAGCAGATATCGACGTTTATTTCCTAAATGTCCACAAGTGAACAGTTTGGCCTACGTAGCAGAACGGTACACGACAGAAGGGTTCTCATTTTATGAAAAAAAAACAGAAAGGATCAGAGCAAAAGAACAAAAAGAGAAGAGAAAGACAAAAGGGTAAGTTAAAAGAAGGGGACAAGGAGTTGCACCACGTTCGTGCACACATACCTCTCAATCGATTCTAGAACTATCAGTGCGGCCACAAACACCAAGAAGACTGCATTCACATAGCCTGAAAGCACTTCAAAGCGCCCATAGCTGTCAAAACACAACAAGAAAATGGAGCATACATGGGCCCCTATAAGCAACAGAACACATAGGTGGATGAATAGAAGTGCACTAACAACCTTCTCTGTCTGTCTGTCTGTCTGTCTGTCTGTCTGTCCGTCCGTCTGCCTGCCTGCCTGCCTGCCTGCCTGCCTGCCTGCCTGCCTGCCTGCCTGCCTGCCTGTCTGTCTGTCTCTGTCCCTCTCCTACTCTCCCTCTCGCTCCTTCACAAGCACACAGACACACACACAAACAACAGCCTCATCTGTATGTACGCCTTTCTTCGTCTCTCTCTCTCTCTCTCTCTCTCTCTCTCTCTCTCTCTCTCTCTCTCTCTCTCTCTCTCTCTCTCTCTCATTTCACAACCGCACGTGCTAATGCACACGCATACGCACACATGAGCCTTCTATCTATAACTTTGTTTTCTTCCTCTCCTAGGTATTGTACTACTTTCTTTATGTTGTACACTTTTGTGTGCGTGTATGGTCTTTTCCCTTGTTCTCCTGAGAGTCCAAGCGCACCACGTTCAAGATGTGCCAAGTATGCAGTTGCTCTTAGGAGTGCCCATAACACTATTACGGGGGCTGCTGTGTTGGGATGCCTGTGTCTGTGTTCCTGGTTGTGACAGGGTTTGTGAAAGTGACACCCAGACCCTTCACATTGACATGAACCTACAGTCTGAAGAGTTCTGGCTGTCGTGTAAGTGATAGCTTGCGTCCATTTCTCCTGTATGCATGGACTGCCCTGCCGGTGCTGCCGCCATGTTCAGTGGCCTGTACACTTGCCATGCATTGCCTTGCTTCCCTGCTGCTTGACATTGCTGCTCGACTGCCCACTTGCCCACTTGCCTCCCTCGCCCCGTATATGCTTGCATGGTTGCCTTGCTGCCTGCCTCGCCGTGCACCTACCTAGTCGCTCAACTCCGTGCTCATTGTTACTCGTCTAGTAGCTTCGCTGTTTGCCGCCGTGCCCACCTGCCTTGCTGCTTGCTTGACACGCGCCTTGGTTTTCACTTGGAACAAGGGTGTTCAAAAATTTCGAAATGATTTTGTATTTCATTGGAAGTAGCATTTCAACTCAAAGCAACAAGATTAGTGGTTTGGAAGACCGTAGAGGTTTCAGCCCCCTGATGAGTCGGTGAGAGTCTGACGAAACAGTCTTCCTCCATCTGTGTTCTTTTCTTCTTCCTCACCGGTTTCAAATGAGGGAAGCGTATCTGCCCTGTTCGAACACATTTTATGAAGCTCACTCTATTCTCAAGGGAGTTTCCTTATGAAAACTGTTGTGGATCTTCGATGCACCGATTACGGATCTGTTTCCATGCGTTTGAGTAACACCAATCAATCGGTTGCAGCACTACGGGTGCAGAGGTATTGCAAAATCTCAGACACACACACAAACACAGTGTACACGAAGTTGGCATCAGTGCCGAACAGAGAGAAATCAATCCCTCCACCTCCCTCTGTTTTCCATTCTCTCGAGTAACACCAGTCAGTTGCATTACAGCATTATGCTGCGCTATGGGTGCAGAGGTTTTGCAACATCTCAAACACACACACGGATGAACAGACCATAGATGATGTTGGCGCCAGTGCCGAACAGAGAATTCAATCCCTCCCCCTCCCCCCGGTTCCTCCTGGATCCATCAACTGTTCTTGTTCCATAAAAAAAACATACAAACATCGTCGTCTATGTTTGTCACAAGCAAATCCGCACCAGGCTGCAGCTTCTTCTCAACTTCTTAGCAATTTTTTGAACATAAAGGGCGGAAGAGGACAATCAAGGATGACCGTGGGAAGTCTGCTGAAGGAACCAGCATCACCCATCGGGGCCCATACCCGTAAGTGTACTTCGGAGTTGCTGGCAAGCGCATCATATAAGAGGCATAGAGACCGATTGCCAATGCCGCACAGTCAAAGAGCATATGGCACGCGTCTGAAATAAGGCCCAAACTGCACCCCCGAAAAACTCCCCCAACCCATATCCCGTTCCGAAGCAACCCCCACTCCCACACACACCAAGCAACAAAAAAACATCGACCAGGAAACCACTGGTGTCGTAAGACTGCCACAGCAACAATAATAACAAGAAAAAAACAGCATGACTTCGCGCTCGTGAATAAGAGTTATGGTGTGTGTGGCTTCGCCATGTGCCTTGTGGCCCTGGTGGCTGGGCGACACAGTTCGTCCTGAGTCTGAGATTAAAAAAAACAACAAATGAAAAAAGTTCAAAAAACTAGACAATTTACACATGAAACCGGATGCAGCAAGAAAGAATCCACTGAAAAGCAAATATACAAGGCACTGGAACCCCAAGTGGTACAGTTTCCAATTTGAAAAACTAACAATACAAATAAATACACCGCAAAGGTTAAGAAAAGCATCCTCCACACGCAGGCATTAGTCCTGGTAAACCCTGCGCTACTGAGAGGAATTGATTGCCAGCTCTGTTTGAAGTGTGATAAAGAAGAGCACATCTTCAGATGGTGTCCAGAGCTGAGCAGAAGCAACCGGTCGAAAGAAGAGGCAACAACTTCTTGCCCAGAGCTGGTGAGTATCGTAGACAAAGACTCGGTGCCAACTAGATCCCTCCCGCACCTGCTAGGGCCCACGGAAGAGGCCCTCTCTTCCTTGGTCCCTCACTGAGAACAATCCCCTGAGACAGTGTTGTATACGGTATCTCTGAGTGATTCCCTTCCTCATGGAAGGGAGCAAAAAATTGGACTATCCAGCAGTGTTGCACACGCCGACCGTCGGCAACCCCTGACTGGTCGGCTGCCGACCCGCCGACCGGTCGGCTGGTCGGCACCTACCGGTCGGGGGTCGTCGACACCCCGCAAAAAAAAGAAAAAAGAAAAAAAAAAAGAAGTTTTAGGGTCCAGA